CACACCCACCCCCACCCACTCACCCGCACCCCCCCCCACCCACTCACCCACTCACCCACACCCACCCCCACCCACTCACCCACTCACCCACACCCACCCCCACCCACTCACCCACTCACCCACACCCCCACCCACTCATCCGCACCCCCCCCCCACCCACTCACACACACCCCCCCCCACCCACACCCCCCCTCCCACCCACTCACCCGCACCCCCCCCCACCCACTCACCCACACCCCCCCACCCACTCACCCCCACCCACCTACCCACACCCACACCCCCACTCACCCACACCCCCCCATCCACTCACCCACACCCCCCCCACCCACTCACCCACACCCCCCCCCACCCACTCACCCACACCCCCCAACCCACTTACCCAGACCCCCCCCCACCCACTCACCCACACCCACACCCCCCCACCCACCCACACCCACACCCCCACTCACCCACACCCCCCCACCCACCCACACCCCCCCCCACCCACTCACCCACACCCCCCCCACCCACCCACACCCCCCCCACCCACTCACCCACACCCCCCCCCACCCACTCACCCACACCCCCCCACCCACTCACCCACCCACACACAGACACACATTCATCCCCCACACGCTCAGCAAAAGCATCCAAACTTGGCAGCCGCTGCCCATAGCACATGAGGGAGGGAGGGGGGGGGGGTTTGTGATGGCTTCTGAGCGGCATTGCCAGGAAGGGGTTTGGTTCACAATGGCCAAACCGGTGCTATCCTGCCCGTAAACACGGATCCACTCTCACACGCAAAAGACAAAGATCCCCCACGTAGCCTTCAACAGACTGCTGGGGCAAGTGCTGTTAGTAGCGAGGTGCGAGCAACTATTTAGGCCGGCACGGCACACGAGGGGGTGGGTGGCCAGCACCACGCCCGGTCGCCTTTGTCTCCCCAGTGGCGATGTTTACTACACACCGCACCAGGTACTCATTTGAGGCTGAGTCGACCTATGGGGAGGCCCAGGACCGGTTCAGATAATCGTCACTGGTGTTGGCCATGAGTGGGAATCGAACTCGGGTCGCCAGGTTCGTAGTGCAGCGTAGCGCTAACCACCACACTACCACCTTAACAGACTGCTCGGGCAAGTATGGTTAGTAGCGAGCACCTATTAAGGTTGCCAAGACATTTAAACTCACGCACGCATTCACACACGATTAATTTACAGTACATACGTATGTACACACACTGTGTGTGCATACTTGCACACATACACAATCACGCACTCACCCAGTCACTCACTCCCTTACTCACTCACCCACCCAACCACTCACTCGTTCACTCACTTACCCACACACTCACCCATTGCCTCATTCGCTCACTCACTTACTCACCTCACCCACCAATATAACCACCCACTCCCGAAAACCAGCCACTCACCCACTTATTCCCTTATTCACTCACTCGCGCAACACTCACTCACCAACTGCTCCGTTTGCTCACTCATTTACTCACTCGCCCACCCATATAACCACCCACTCACTCACCCAACCACTCACTCACCCACCCACTCACTCCCTTATTCACTCACCCAACCACTCACTCATTCACCTACTTGCCCACACATCCCTCACTCGCCTACTGCCCCATTCGGTCACTCACTCGCCAACCCAAATCTACCACCCACTCACTCACCCAACCACTCACTCACCCACCCACTCACTCCAACATTCACTCACCCAACCACTCACTCATTCACTCACTCGCCCACACATCCCTCACTCACCTACTGCCCCATTCGGTCACTCACTCGCCAACCCAAATCTACCACCCACTCACTCACCCAACCACTCACTCACCCACCCACTCACTCCAACATTCACTCACCCAACCACTCACTCATTCACTCACTCGCCCACACATCCCTCACTCACCTACTGCCCCATTTGCTCACTCACTCGCCAACCCAAATCTACCACCCACTCACTCACCCAACCACTCACTCACCCACCCACTCACTCCAACATTCACTCACCCAACCACTCACTCATTCACTCACTCGCCCACACATCCCTCACTCACCTACTGCCCCATTTGCTCACTCACTCGCCAACCCAAATCTACCACCCACTCACTCACCCAACCACTCACTCACCCACCCACTCACTCCACTATTCACTCACCCAACCACTCACTCATTCACCTACTCGCCCACACATCCCTCACTCACCCACTGCCCCATTCGCTCACTCACTCGCCAAACCAAATCTACCACCCACTCACTCACCCAACCACTCACTCACCCACCCACTCACTCCACTATTCACTCACCCAACCACTCACTCATTCACCTACTCGCCCACACATCCCTCACTCACCCACTGCCCCATTCGTTCACTCACTCGCCAACCCAAATCTACCACCCACTCACTCACCCAACCACTCACTCACCCACCCACTCACTCCCTTATTCACTCACCCAACCACTCACTCACCCACCCACTCACTCCCTTATTCACTCACCCAACCACTCACTCATTCACCTACTTGCCCACACATCCCTCACTCGCCTACTGCCCCATTCGGTCACTCACTCGCCAACCCAAATCTACCACCCACTCACTCACCCAACCACTCACTCACCCACCCACTCACTCCAACATTCACTCACCCAACCACTCACTCATTCACTCACTCGCCCACACATCCCTCACTCACCTACTGCCCCATTTGCTCACTCACTCGCCAACCCAAATCTACCACCCACTCACTCACCCAACCACTCACTCACCCACCCACTCACTCCACTATTCACTCACCCAACCACTCACTCATTCACCTACTCGCCCACACATCCCTCACTCACCCACTGCCCCATTCGCTCACTCACTCGCCAAACCAAATCTACCATCCACTCACTCACCCAACCACTCACTCACCCACCCACTCACTCCACTATTCACTCACCCAACCACTCACTCATTCACCTACTCGCCCACACATCCCTCACTCACCCACTGCCCCATTCGTTCACTCACTCGCCAACCCAAATCTACCACCCACTCACTCACCCAACCACTCACTCACCCACCCACTCACTCCCTTATTCACTCACCCAACCACTCACTCATTCACTCACTCGCCCACACATCCCTCACTCACCTACTGCCCCATTCGCTCACTCACTCGCCAACCCAAATCTACCACCCACTCACTCACCCAACCACTCACTCACCCACCCACTCACTCCACTATTCACTCACCCAACCACTCACTCATTCACCTACTCGCCCACACATCCCTCACTCACCCACTGCCCCATTCGCTCACTCACTCGCCAAACCAAATCTACCACCCACTCACTCACCCAACCACTCACTCACCCACCCACTCACTCCACTATTCACTCACCCAACCACTCACTCATTCACCTACTCGCCCACACATCCCTCACTCACCCACTGCCCCATTCGTTCACTCACTCGCCAACCCAAATCTACCACCCACTCACTCACCCAACCACTCACTCACCCACCCACTCACTCCCTTATTCACTCACCCAACCACTCACTCATTCACCTACTTGCCCACACATCCCTCACTCACCTACTGCCCCATTCGCTCACTCACTCGTCAACCCAAATCTACCACCCACTCACTCACCCAACCACTCACTCACCCACCCACTCACTCCACTATTCACTCACCCAACCACTCACTCATTCACCTACTCGCCCACACATCCCTCACTCACCCACTGCCCCATTCGCTCACTCACTCGCCAAACCAAATCTACCACCCACTCACTCACCCAACCACTCACTCACCCACCCACTCACTCCACTATTCACTCACCCAACCACTCACTC